ATCTATATAATATGATGTGCTGTAATTGCCAAATAATCTATATAATATGATGTGCTGTAATTGCCAAATAATCTATATAATATGATGTGCTGTAATTGCCAAATAATCTATATAATATGATGTGCTGTAATTGCCAAATAATTCTCAGCTATTCCCTTGAAACTTCAGTCTTCATAATTTCTGAATGTTGCATTGGGTTTATGAAACAATTAATCAACTCGAATCTAATAGCAGATGTAGAGATCTCATTGATATTTGCATTTGTTTTTTAATAATCAGTATTTTCTTATTGTTCCTATTCAGATATATACTCCAAAAAGTTTAGAAGATGAATTTGTAAAAATTAGGGAAATTTTAACAAATGATAAAAATACGTGGGATTTAAGAGTTTCAACAGTAAGTAAAATTTACAGTCTACCAACCATTCTTACATTTATGTGACTTTTTGTCAATGCAGTTCGAAAACAGAGACTGTGGTCGTCCATCTGTGCATTCTTGCCTTTATCGTGGACATGACTGCTGTGATACATTCAAACTTCACACTTTCATCACACATCTTGGGAGACATATGCTCACTTATTCGTTTCACAATTTGATTTAAATTGACCGGTAATTTTATGCTTAAAATTCATCAAAATCAAGCAATTATGTCATTCTGGAACTGGATTTTGTTGAAACCTGATACATACATACCTTGGACATATTGAAATTTTGATGCACAGTATTCTATTTTTCAGATCAGATTCAAAATGGCCAATTGGTGGCTATTTTGTTTTAACAAGTGGTTATTTATTATAATAAAATTTTATTTATAAGGTTGAAAAATAAAAATGGTCAGTACAGTCTTGTAGAAATTAGCTCACAGTAAACAAATCTTGGTCACCAAATTTTTTGGATAAAAGTGATATTACATTTATGTTGATTAATACATATTTTTCTGACATCACCTGAGTCACCTGACCAGCTGTACCTGACCTACTGTTAAAATTCTATTATAAACTGCGGTTTATATTACAATGTATCAAATAAAAAATTGGGATCAACAGCTCAAGTTCGGGGTGCGTCGGCTCACAAGTGAATAACTTACTTGTTTTCGAAGTGTTGAAATTGTTGATTATTACTCAGTAGTGATTATAACAAGGCACTTAGTTTCACCGTAAGCGAATTATTTCGGTCACATGTAAACGATCGAAGCGATACGACTTCGCTATGTAGTTTGAATGCACACAAGACATTACTTGACTTGGGTAGGTCAGGTCGCTAATTTACCAATCAAAATGCTGGATGGTGCCCACGTGTTCAAATTACCTTAGTTCATTTAAATATGTTAATAACAGGTCACCGACTTTATGGTGAAAGAAACCCGGAAGCGATTTACCGATAATGTAGTGCGATCTTTTGGCCTTAATTTTCATGGGAAAACGACATGACTTTTTTTTAAATCAAGAAATTAGTTGTTCTCGAAAGCTAAACTGAGCATTGAAAAAGAATTTAACAGTTTTTTGGAGAGAACAGCTCTTTGTCGAAAACTTGCGACACACGGACGTATTCATAAGGAGTATTGACAAAAGTTGTCACAAGTCTGCGTGTTTGACATCCTAACAGTACTGAACAATAAGGATGTGTGAATATTTTTAGGCACGTTGTCGAAACAAATGAATAGGATTAGGAACAATATACCAGCTGGTTGAAACAAAGTCGGTCACGGTCTTGTTGAATTGGTTAGAATATATAGCTACGTTCTCACACGTCTAAAAAAACACTGATGATAACACTGTTTTGTTTTTTTGTGCAAATATTAGATAATCTGCTGAATTGTCTGCTCGCGTTCTCACTTAGTAAAAACACTGGTGTTTTGCGCCCTCAACAAATCATATCACGAAAAGGTCAGTCGACAAAATGGCGTTCCCTCTGGTAAATGCATTTGCTTTGTTCCTGTTTTTCCGTGTGTTTTTACGTTCGAGAAGAAGACAACGGTGAACAATTTATCGTTATTTCGGAGAACAAGAAATTGCCAACTTGTCAGGTCACGCTATTCGCATGTATGAATAACGCAACAATAGACCCAGCAACCTGAGCGTTTTGGACTTGACAATGAGTAAATAACTGGTGGGAAAACAACATGTAAATGATTCACTATAAGCATTAAAACATTCAAGAAATTTAGCTTCATGCCCTTTTACTACATACACTTACATACACAGATAGAGGGCATTTGACCGTCGTATTGTGTTCACGCGGCACATTGTGCTGTGCAAGAGCTGGTGTGACAACGGTGTTTAGAATCTGGTCCACCCCTTTTACGACGGTGTAAAAAACTGCTGACTCCACAACAACGCATTGTGTTTACACACACATTTTTACATCGTTCTCAAATAAGTGAGAACACCACTTATGTCCTTTTCACCACCAGACTTTCACATTTCTGGAAGTGAATCCTAATTTTAGAGCCAACAGGCAAAATTTGACTTAATTTTCACTTTTGTTTCAAAAAATTTGGCTAATTTTGTCCCAATCTTCTGAAGGAAAGTGCAGACTATAAATCTGACTATTTTGTGAATTTTTGATGAAAAAAGGGAACTGGTGGTGAAAAGGATTCACTAATAGTTTTATTGTAAACTGAGCTAAAAATTGTGTTTTTTTAACTCCGCTGTCGACTTTGTCGAGCGGAGCTTATCATATGAGTGATTGTCCGTCGTCGTCCGTGTCAATGTTTTACTTTTTCGAC